TTCCTTTCCATGGTGATTGGTATCTCATGGGTTAGACGGTTAGAATGTTGTGACCAGCAACGACTTAGGTTTGTCCAGAGATGGGGGATACCCAGACATTCGACATTTTTGCATTGGTGAGATGTGGATTTGTGGCACCCTATTCTTGAAATCTAAAGTAGGAGAACTGGAAATAGATTTGTTGGAGCTGTCTGGTGCCAGCGTGTTTTTTCCTTTCAGACGATTGGTAGCATATATTTTAGGTATATCAAAGCTGGGAAGGGGTTTTGAATCTTTTGTGCCAATGCTGACATATCATGTGGCCCAAACACGGTTTGCTTTCATATAGAAGATCCTGACCATACACCCACAGGGATATAGCCATAGTAAGGAATCCCGATTGCCGGGGGGGGATGACCATAACCGTTTCAGCCATGAACCACTCCCATGTAACTTGACCCTTGGCAGCCTTGGCACATCTCAGCGGGGTCAGGAGTTGGAATTTCAACGCTTGGCTGCGGAACTGGAAGATGAACATGAAGACCTCCGCGCGCAGGCGCTGAGACCATCTGAGACCGCTGAGACCGCTGAAATGTCGTGGCACCGAGTGGTGAATGTCTGTGAAAGATGGGTTGGTGTGAGCCTTTTTGGCAGTGCTACTGCCTGACGTGCCAGGTTCCCCATGAAGATATCCATATTTATGCTGGGGATGGCATGTGATAAATTAAGTTGTGCATACCACGTTTGATTTCAGCAGGTAAAAAACGGAGCGGAATATCATGGAATATCTCGAAATTGAAGAGGATTTGAAGAGGTATATGGCCCACACTTATTGTTCAGGTCATTGTAGACAACAAACATGTTGAACAACTCATGGTCACTTAAATCCCACTTATACATAAACATATCTACATTTCTACATTGAGTGCAGGAATGTAGACATGTTTAAGTGGGATTCAACTTTGAACCCATGGAACTAGTGATGTGTTCTGGGTGATGGATCCCAACTGTGAACAGTATATGTTATATTTTTCCATATGCACATGTACCTGTATAGCCATTATACATATATAAACATGTATAGATTTAGATACAGACTGATACAGATATATGTTATCCAATCACTCCAGCATTGGTGATTCCTGAATTCATTGAAGAAACATGCAACTTTCAGACGGATATTGGCCCCAAAATTGGCAATTCGATGTGCAAAGTTCAAAAAATGAACCTAACAAAATCTCAAATTGGTTGGATAAATTCTCGATCATGCACGCAAAATAAATATACCCTCTGGTTATTTAACATAGCCATGGTACAGATGGCCCATAGAAATAGATGGTTTACCGTTCTTAAACATGGGCGGATTTTCCATGGCGAACTGTTAGTCATAAGCAGAGGGTATAGTATAGTAATCACCATGTTTCATGGGAAAATCCACTATTTCTATGCTCATGTTCAATAGCAAACTGTTAGTCATAACCAGAGGGTATAAGTGGATTAACCCTATTCCATTCATAAAAAAAAATATAACATACTATAACTGGGGTTATTTTCATGGGAAAATCCACTATTCATTTTTCAATAGCAAACTGTTAGTCATAACCAGATGGTATAAGTAGATTAGCCCTATTCCATTCATATATATATATTTTTTTAATAACATACTATAACTGGGTTTATAACCCACAAAAACTATGTAGGATCCCCCTGGACGGCCATGGGAGAAACGCAGCGAAACGCCATGGATCAACTCATGACATCGCCTTTTGTGGCAACGGTGGCAACCGGTGGCAACCAGGCACGTCGTGCCAAACGTGGTGCTGATATGGTCACCCCAGAGATGCAGGCAAGGCGACGGCAGGACTAGCTCTGTTTAGGTTGCAAAATAAGATGAGTTTTGACCAAAAGAAAAACATGATTGACTGTAACATGGGGATTTTTTGAAGGGGAAACTCTATGAAACTATATGGAGGCTGGTTGGTGGTTTGGAACATGAATTTCATTTTTCCATATATTGGGAATAATCATCCCAACTGACGAACTCATATTTTTCAGAGGGGTTGAAACCACCAACCACAAAAAATGATTGACTGTAACACGCTTTAAAAAATTGATAAAAAATGTAAAAAGGGAATAGCCAAATAAGAAGAATGAAATCACCAATTTAACATAATGATTACTGACTGTAACACACAAAAAATGTAAAAGTTGGGTTAGCCCAAGAAGAAGCAGGTAATTACATGTAATTACAAAAAAATGATATATATATATAACTATTTAATCAACTAGCATTTATATTGAGCTTAGGGGTGACCTATATATGTTCCTCGGATATTTCAAAGTCATCTACTTTTGCGATGTTTAATTCGTGATATTCCATATCATTGTGATATCATATCCCACTATATCTCCATTATACCCCAATCAAATTCCCGTTAAAATTGTGATGTTCAGTTATGTTAGAATTTCACATTATATTTTAGCAGTCCCCACCATACATGTTCCCCGTTACGAAGAAGTTCCAAAATTGTCCCAAGCATGTTCCAAGGAATTGTTTGGATGTGTTCAAATTGTTCCAGTATTTTTTTAATCATATTTGTCCATATTGTTCCCTCCCACATGCAATTCCGGAGGATTGTGATGTATGGTCCATATGATATTGTCCATCAAGTGTGAATTTCCCATCCTGACCATAGTCAAGATTTAAACCATATATTCCCATATTACAATTTATGTATATATATATACATATATTCCTAGCTTATATCAGTTATATAAATTGTGTTTTCCCATCATGTGTTCCATTGTATATTTCAGCATTCTGGAAGCATATAAACCATATATGTATATACCAAAAATATTCCCATTGTATTTTTCCATATGTTCCCATCATATTCCCATCATCTTCACATGATAATCCCATCATCTTCTCATCACATTCCCATCATTTTCCTATCATCTTCCCCTGATAATCCCATCATCTTCTCATCACATTCCCATAATTTTCCCATTATTTTCCCATCATCTTCCCATCATATTTCGATCATATATTCTCATGTTTTCCCAGCATCTTCTCATCTTCCCGGCCTCTGTCGCTCTTCCCATCCCTTTGGGCCCTTCCTGGTGCTCCAGGCGGACATCGAAGCGCTGCTGGAAGCCTTGGGCATTCCCTTCGTCCACGCCCCCGCGGAGGCAGAGGCCCAGTGCGCCTTTCTGGCAGAGGCCGTTGGGGCCACGGGTCATGGGCCATGGGCCATGGCTTCATGGTGTCGATTTTTTGGGACTTATGAACTACATAATTAACCACCTGGGGATGATGAGCCATAGTTTATTATACTTAAATTATACCCATAGATGATTCTCAAAGGTAGTTGATAAATGATGGCTGGTGATTGGGACTTACCCGCTGGTAACGTGGCGAAATAGCCTCTGGAAACTGTGGTTGAATTCTATGGTTTATGGTAGATATCGAACTGGTTGATAAGTTTATGAACCAATCTATAAACTGATTAATGTGGTTGAACTAACAGTTCGCTATTGAAAATGGCCCAGTCGAAATAGTGGATTTACCCAGCTGTAAAATGCTGATTTTTCCATAGTTACGTAAACGTTTACCAGAAGGTATGAACTACATAAGCACCTAGGGATGAGATGAGCCATAGTAGTTTATCCCATTGATGATTTTAGGATTTTTGATTTTAGGGATATATGTTGTTAATCCTGGAAATGACCTGGTAGTTAATATAAGCTATAGGATCGTGATAGGGACTTATTGACTACCTATAGTTTAGATAGGTTAATATATGTTATTATATAGGGACTTATTAACTATCAGTCTAGTTTATTGGGATGTTATCATATTAATCATGTTAATTAACCAAGTTATAACTGAGGGGGGGCACCACCTTGTAGTTTATTGGGGATAATACCCCATAGAGAAAGCTATCAACTATCAACCAACTAGTATAATGAGATGGGATGGGGGTATTTTTTATGGCTCAGCAGTTTAGGTACTATCTGGGAATGACAAACAGACATTGAGAACTGGGCTTCCCGCTGGCCAATTTATGGATGATTTGGCTCTATGTTTTAACGTCCGATTTTCCAGTTCGCTATGTTGGTTCCCTATCTGAGTTTATACACGTACATGGGAGTTTCCTGAAATAGGGGTACCCCCAAATCATCCAAGTCATGGATGACCCTGAGTTAGTATTGAAACCCATGGTTTTGGGATGTTTGGAGATCCCCCATTTTATGAAATCCCCATATATCCCCCACTAAAAAAAATAGGAAACGATAGCTTTAACTATATTTACCCATGAAACATGTGCGCAAGCTGTTAGTCAGAGGGTAAATCCGATTAAGATCCACCTGTTTGTTTTTCAATTGCATACGAATCAGAACAAATTTCCCATAACATGTCTCATGAAACTTCCAATCCCATTAAAGTCCATATGAATCAGCCAAAATTTCCATGGATGTTTCTCACCAATCAGTGCCAATCAGCTAGGATTTCCAGAAATTTCCCACCAACTGCCCTCTGGTAATGCAACAGTTTGCTCTTGAAAGTGGCACATTTAGTTCGTTGATTTATCGAATTTAAAGATGTTGAGTTTCAAGTTCGCAAACTGTTTTGTGTACAAGTCTCAAACGAGGCATTTTATGTTTTTACAAGTCTCAAACGAGTGTAATGTGATTAAAACAATAATAAACCATCTCCCAGTCATCACCCTGTTTATAGGTGGTATAAATTTACCATTCCAAGTGGGTAGTTTATTATTGTTTTAACCACATTAGCTTCATATGTATTTCCATGACTACCCTCTGGATCCCTCTGGTAATTTAACAGTTCGCTATTAAAAATGGCCCATAGAAATTGTTGATTTACCTATAAAAAAAATAAGGTTTTCCATAGTTTACCCACTAAAAACCACTAAAAAAGGTGATTTTCCATAGCAAAATGTTAGTTTACCAGTGATTCAATCATTAAAAATCATCCACCATCATTTATCAACTACCTT